TAACAATGAGCAGTGACAATGTTATCATTAAAAAAAGCTTAAAATGGTCAAATCATAGAAACAGGTGGGTTTACCTCTAGAAATAGAGGTAGGAACATTGAACCCCTTAAGCCTGTTCTGCTATCCAATTATATCAGTGCTAATCTTTAACTTAGCTCCACCTAAATGTTCCATCTTTTTTAATACCATTGTGGAATAATACTCTATCATCCTTGCTTTGGAAAATGCTTCAAAAACATTTTATTGGGGTGGGTGTTATAACCTGCTAAGCTTTGTATGAGTACCTTGTTGTGAGTGTTATGGTTTTGAAAGAGTTAATTGTTAAACTATACTGAACTCCACCCTGTCTAATAATGTCATGCAGCCTGTGGGTGAATAATCTATTGAACTGGGCAATGGTTTTCTACTGGATATGCCTGTGTGTTCTCTACCTCTCATTACTAATAGTTGATATCCCTATGAGTTTGAGATGTAATAAATTACATTAAAGGCAAAAATCTCTTCTTAGCTTAAACTTAGCTGTGTTCCGTCCTCCACCACAGATACCACAGACTGACAGCCCCTTAGATTAGCAAAGGAAGGAGGATTGGTGGAAAGTCTGTACTCCAGCAACCAGCTGTGATTGGTACTGAGGTATCACATCACTTTATCACGAACTACTTTTTGATATCACCCCTGAAGAACCAGGTTTTAATTTTATAGGCAGTGAACCATAAATTTGGACTCACCATTTGGCGTTTTCCACTCATTTGTTTCTTCAACTACTCTGATCATCACAATTAACCCTATTAAGACATTTCCTAAATCTTTTATACCCTAAGAAATGAAAGCCTAGTTTATGCAATCTCATTTCATAACTTAACTCTTTCAGACCTTGATTCATTGTGATCAATCTTCACTGTACCCTGTCCAAGGCCAATATACCCTTCCTGAAGTGCAGTGCCCAGCACTAGATAAGATTAGAGGAATTAGGAGCTATTTGAACACTCAAGGTTGCTCCACCACTTGAGAAAGTCATGGCTGAACTATAATGCTCATTGCTTCACTTTATTTCTTAGAATCATAGAATATAGCAGAATTTCTTGTCCCCATAACCCTTGACTCTTTTGTCAACTGAAAGTCTGTCCAACTCTGTCCTGAATATATTCAATGACCCAGCCCACACTTCTCCCTGGGGAAGAGAATTCCAAAGACTAACCCCTTTCTCAGAAAAGAAGTTCCTCCTCATTTTTGTCTCAAATAGGAGACCCCTTATTTTTTGACCTTGCTCCCTAGTTCTAGATTCCCCTAACAAGGAAATAGTCTCTCAGATGGTCTCTGTCCAGCCCCACTTCAGAATCTTATATGTTTCCATAAGATCATTTCTTATGCTTCTAAATTCCAATCTACATCAGTCCATTCCGCTCAAACCCTCATCAAAAGATAACTCCCACGATCGAGTGAACCTTCTCTGAACCACGTCCAATGCCAGTCTATCACTCCTTTACCAAAGGCACTAAAACTATATGTACTACTCTCGATGCAATCTTAGCAATGCTCTGTACAGCTGTAACTACTCCATCCCAATAAACATCAATTTTCAATTTGCTTTCCTAATTACTTGCTTTATCTGCATGCTAACATTTTTCCGTTTGTGTACAAAGACACCCAGAACCCCCTGTATGACAGCCTACTGTCATCTCATTCTACTCAAAAAATATTCTATCTTTCTAGTCTTCCTGCCAAAGTAGTTAAACTCACCTTTTCAGCTACGAGTACATGTTCCTTGAATTCACAAGGGCAGAGGAAACCTCTAATAATTTCACCGCCTGCTCATTTCTATTTATCTTACCACATCGTTTCAGCAGTTTAATCAGGATGAACTTGGTCGAGAAATTGCTACTTTGCAAAGTTGCGATTTGCAAAATTCTGTGTATTTGTTGATCAGGGACCTTCTCACATGCTACATTTATAATTCCTGGCTAAGGACAATGGTGTAATTACAGATTGCTGTGATAGCCACAAGACCGTACTAAAACCAATTCTCTATAAACTTTTACTCTTTCAATTTTAGTGAAATCCAGGTGAAAACATACATAATCAATTGTACATAGAGTCTCATCAGGGCTTTCAAGAAATATTTAAGTACATCTTGCTGAAAGAGTTGTTACTGAAGCTTTTCTTCTTTTATGCATCAGGACTAACACAAAAAAATCAAACCAAAGGAGCATACCAATTTATATTGCAGGAGAAAAGCATCCTGATCTGTGGGAAATTTGAATCTGAGTGGTTTGGCATTGCCGTGGAGAAATCAATGAGGAACAATGGACTCCCAAGCTCCCACTGGATTCTTGAATATACTCTATTTCTGTGTCATTTTTGCAAGGTGAGCAAATGTCCAAGGTCTATTTACAAGATTTCTGATAAAGCCAATGTTATAGTGCATAAAGCTGTATAAATCCTGATGAGTATATTTACCAGTCAAGGTAGGCTTGTGATAGACAGGAGGGAAGAATTCTCAACTAATGCATTGAGGAAAGGAAACACAAGAGATTGCTCCCTTTCTAGCGTGCATTTGTGGGCAGAATGACCTTTCATGACCTTGGGATATGCCAAAGCACTTTATAATCAATCAAGCACTTTGAGTGTAATCGTTATGTTAATACAGCCAATTTGCTCACAGCAAATTCCCACAGTCATTCAAGTGATAATGACCAATTCATTCCTTGACTGTGCCAATTGCATTGCAAACAGTGGCCAAGCCACAGGGAAAAAACACTCAGTTATTCTTTGACTAATGCCATGAAATACTTTACAACACCAGAGAAGCCAGATTGGTTCTTGGTTTTGGCATCTTGTGTGAAAGAAGGCACCCTCCAACAGTGCAATCCCTCATTACAGCACTGGATGGTCAGTTTCAGTTATGAGCTCAAGTCTTTGAATCCTTCAACCTCTGACTGAGGAGCAAGTCTCAACTGTGGCCAGTACCTATTAAGTACACCAAGAGTTTTCATAAAATCATAGACTAGTTACATAAGATCATTCAGTCCATTGTGTCAGTACCAGTTCCATTCCACTGCCTTGTCCCCATAGGCCTGCAAAGCCTTCCCTTCAGATAATAGTGCAGTTTTGTTTGCGAGGCCTTGATTGAATCTTCTTCTACAGCACTGTGAAGCACTCAACATGTAAAAATGGGTTTCTGCCAATGACTTTATAGAATCATAGAATCTCTACAGGATGAAAGCAGGCCATTTGGCCCATCAAGTCCACATCGACCCTCCCACCCAGACCCACCCCGTCCCTACAATCCTGCATTTCCCATGGCTAGTCCTCCTAAACCTGTACATCCCTGGACACTATGGGCAATTTAGCATGGCCAATCCACTTAACCTGCACATCTTTGGACTGTGGGAGGAAACCAGAGCACCTGGAGGAAACCCATGCAGACATGGCCCAAACGTTCTGGTTCTCCACTTTTCTGCTAATTGAAACAGTTTCTCCCCATCTATTCTGACTAGATCCCACATGATTTTGAACACTATCAAGTCTCCTGTTAATCTTCTCTTCTCCAACCTACATCTGAAGAAGAGGTTTATCATTCCTTCAGCCAATCTTGCAAATCTTCTCCGCACCCTTCCTAATGCCTTTACATTCTTCCTAAAGTGAACTGACCAGAACTGGACACAGCATCATTTGAGGCTAAACCAGTGTTTTACAGATGTTTTATAAACTTTGGTTGTTAAATGCGCTGTCCAGTGTTGAACTGAATCTTTCAGACAAACACCCCTTCCTGATAAAAGGCCCTACTTTGTGACAACCCATTGGAATTTATCTGCATTGGTAGTTGTTGGTCTGTAGTAACTATGGGATTAGGGGAGTTGAAAGCAGCTCCTGACTGTTGTCCAGTAACCTGTACTGGGCGAGTATCTGTGGGGTGTGGGATACCATAAGGCTGTGATGCTCCCTATTGTCAACATCTGCTGACACTCACTGGCCAGGCTCCCAGTATAAAGTGTCAGCAGTTGGCTGCAATAGCTGGGCAGCGAAGTTGAAGATAGACAGAAAGTACTTGAAAGTTAATGGTAGTTTTTTATTTTGGAAACTTATTTACATCAGTGCCAAATCTGAGCAGTCAAGAGGTCTTCCTTTCATCTTCATCGTAACTGATGAAACATGTCCTCTCCATCCCTGAGGAAAGGTGTCGCCTAGAGATGCATTCCAAAGTTAAGGTGAATGCAGAACATCAGTTTTAAATTTGAGTTGTATGGGCTGGAACTGAAGACAGATTCAAAAAGACCAAAGGCGGTTAGGATGTGGGGAATGGATGTGGAAGTAGGACAGTCACACAACAATTGACTAAACTTCAAAAGCACATCCCTGACTGGGAAGAGTTTCCTGAAATCATGGAAGGTGCAATGTGAATGTGTGCCATTTGCATTGCGTGCTGAAATGAAGGAGGGTAGATTTTTGGAGTATTCTGAGGGGCTAAATTAAAGGGACTGAATGGTCGGGTTAATCTTTGTCTTTTGTGGTCATTTGGCATTGAAAAATTGAACGGCCCTCCCCCACCCTACCCCAGCCCACCCACTTAATCCCACACTCACGACGTGGAGACAATAACATAGTTTTAAATCTAACTTTTATACTTTTATAAGAAATGTCAACTGCTCCTCACAATACAACAATCGATTTAAAGTGATCTGGATCACACATCTGACCTCACAATCAGCATTGCACAGTGCCTGCTAGCCAGATATTTTGTTATGAATCTAAATCCGCTTTAAATTCTGGGAAGATAAGCACGTTGACTTTTATTTTAATTTCTGCGTTATGTGTACAAGATTAAAATGTTTTCGTTTAAAACACACAGCAGCAGAGAGTTTGTGAGGTGGAAAGGGAAAATGAAACAGGTTCTAAAGTGTGTAGTTTTAATCGTAGGGAGTGTTTGTAGGAGGGGCTCCTGTGCAGACTGGCCTGTGGGTGGAGCCTGTATATTGGGTTTTAATCCGGAGTTTCGCTGTTCACTATAGGCAGACCTGTCCCAGCGCAGGGGCCTCTGTGGTCCCACCAGTGGTAGGGGGCTGGTCAAGGCGTCCTCACTCTTCTTCTCTCCTCTCACTTTCAGGTGTTTTGGGGGGAATTATAACGGCACCGTTCCACTCTACCGGGGAGTGGGGTACTGTCTTGTTAAGAGTGGCACGGATTTCACATTCTCAACCCCGGGATTTAAGTGAGAAGCAGCTCGGAAGATCAGGTATACTCGGGACGGTTCAGGAGTATAGTTCAGAGGGATTCTGAGCGAGTGTGTTTATTCCTGTATTTGTTCCTCTCTAGCTCTAAAGGCATTTATCTGTGATTACTGAATGATACCGGCCCTGACCAGCCCTTTTCGTACAAACCAGTTAGTCACTGGCGTTAAACATCGAGTTCGAGGTCCTGGGTAAGAACACAGTGTTTCTTGTACATATTCTTGGTGCCTACGTGCTGAGCTCCAACTAACCTTTGCTCCCCATTATTGACCAGGTTTATTGCTGAGGCCAACGTGGATTTAGGAGCAACGTTTGATTCTGTTTCCGAATAGTGTGCTGTACACCTGATGAGTTAGATAAGGAATATGAGCCGAGAGTTGGGAACCTACAGGCCGAGCAGCTCAAAGAGAGTTGATAAAGCCACTCGAGTTTCATGAGGTTCCAATTCTCTGCAAAATGAGAATAAGCACACTGATTTTTATTCTTCATAATCTGTAGACAATCTGTGTATGTTTTATTTCTCTCGATTAGGCAGTTTGTAGACAAGCTGGACCTTATGGTCTGAGCTGAAGGAATGCACCACTGCTTGAGGTGTTACCTTTTCCATGAGCTGTCTATTCAAAGCTCTCAAGACCCTACTGTTTTTTAAATTCATTCATGGAATGCAGGTGGCTCTGGCCAGACCAGCATTTATTGCCCATGCCTAATTGCCCAGAGGACAGTTGAGAGAGTCAACACATTGCTGTGGGTCTGGAGTCACATATAGGCCAGATCAGGTAAGAATGGCAGATTACCTTCCGTGAAAGACATTAGTGAACCAGATGGTTTTTCCCTGACAAACAACAATGGTTTCATGGTCATCATTAGACCCTTAATTCCAGATTATTTATTGAATTTAAATTCCACCTTCTGCCATTGCAGGACTTGAACATTAGCTGAGTTTCTGGATTAATAGCCTAACAATAATACCATTAAGCTATCGCATATGGGTGTCTTTTTTGTAGACATGTGTCCCAGGTCTCTGTGAGAGAAGGGATAATGTCCAAGTACGTACTTAATCCCTAATGAAATTTCACTGAGTGTGCTTGCTGTGCTGTGAGATCATGTGCAAAGTCCTTTCAGCACCTTCCAAACCCACGACCATTCCATCTAGAAGGTCAAGGGCAGCAGATTTGTGGGAACACCACTACCTGCATATTCCCCTCCAAGCTACTCACCATCCTGACTTGGAAATATATCATTGTTCCTTTACGGTCGCTGGGTCAAAATCCTGGAACTCCCTCCCTAAGGACATTGAGGTAAGACTTGCATCAGAGGGACTTGAGTGGAAGGAAGAAGGAAGCTCACCACCACCTTCTCAAGGACAATTAGGGACAGCAATAAATGCTGGGCTCAGCCAGTGATGCCCACATCCCACGAGAGAATTTAAAAAAATGACCTTGTTGGATTTTTCTCCATTACAGCAGTAACTATATTTCAAAAGTTTTTCCTTAGCTGTGAATTGTTTTGGGCTGTGGAGGTCATACAAGGTGCTGTATGATTGCACGTTCTTTGCTCTTAAAGCTACAATTCCCGATGTGGTGTGTAATAGAGTTAAGTGTATGAAGGAGCAGGGGGTAACGTGCCACCAGTGGATTTTTGGTTAAATACATGAATGGGGTTGGGAATTACTTTATTGTTGAAAGCAAACAAGCAATTTTTTAAACAAAAGTATGTTAGATATTGGCTATTTTAGTACTAATGTAGGTTTGAAGTTTTGCACCAGATAAATCACTTAGCTGCCCAAAAGAGTGCCTTTAAAAAGTGAATGTGCTCAGAAAGATATTACATGTAAAATTGTGACCTAAATTCCCCAAGGCTGGAGCAATAGCAAATCTGGTCTGTCCAGTTTTTGCTTTACTGTTAGGCTGCACTGTGATTCTGTTCCTGGTTATTATACCTCCCATTCCCACCAAAGTAGTTTGAGAATTCCTGGTCAGAAAGATACCCCTCATTAGTTTATGCAGGTGGGCTTACTGCTCGTTGTGCTAGTGCACTTACAAGATGTCTTTGGGGATTTTTTTTTTTACAGATGTGGCTGAGTTGCAGTCCAAAAAGTTCCCCACCAATACTCATTGCAGCACATATGGCTGGAGCTGTTCCAAATTAGCTAGTGAGCCAGGTGGCTCATGAAATACTGTAAGCTGATCTCTGTCAGTTAAACATCTTGTCCATTGTTTCTTTATGCCTCATTTATTGGAAACTATTAAAAGGTACTGTGACCTTTTTTTTTTGTGACTGGCTGCCCAGTTCAGCAAATGTGATAGTGCAGATATTGACAATTCATCTCCTCACCAGTTTAATTTGCATTTTTTAAGCCACATTGTGACCATACAAACAAAATAGGTGCGCAATTGAAAATGCTGTGCACTTTGGAAGTCTCACTTGACTTGAGAGCAAACTGACGATATGATTCTGCGTGTACTCTCAACCACAATGTTCGAAAGGGCATCACAATGAGTGACTTGCAACTTTTTAGTTTCTGCCATAACTATAAGCACGCAATTATAAGTGAAGGGATAATGCTCAAATAGAGATGGTCAAAAATCACGCAACACCACATTATAGCCCAACAGGTTTATTTGAAAACACTAGGTTTCAGAGCATTGCTCCTTCCTTGGGTGTAATGAAAGAGGAGGTATCAACAGAATTTATAAGTAAAAGATCAAAGGAGCATACAACTGATGTGAATGTATTGAATAAACCTAAAATGGCTAGCTGATTCCCTCCTGTTAAATCTTTAATCTGTCACAAAGGGGATGCAGGTTTCGATTGATTAAAATGCAGATCGCAGAATTTCTTTCAAGTCACTGCCCTGAGATAATGAAACGTTTTAATTAGTGTGTACAACAAGTGACATCTCAAGTCAGACAATGCATTTTACGTGTGAGTCTAACAGTAAAGCAACAACTGTCTGTGTTTTAACCTGGAATCAGACTGGTTTTATTTCCAAGCAGGAATTTATAAAATGCCTATTGACTGACTGTGTCTACAAATTGTGTGCTTTTTGAACAAAATAGAGAATGTGTCTGCAAATGAAAATTCACCCCATAGGGGTGTGTGTGAGTGAGTGATGCGGTGGGGTCACCTGTAGTGGGATGTGAACCCAAGATCATGATTGAGGCCATCCCAATGGGTACTGAATGTGGCTATCAGCCTCTGCTTGGTGATCATGCGTTGTTGTGTATCCCAATGTCTGCCTTGGGGAACATTCACCTGAAGCCAAATGCACTTGACTGCTGAAATGTTCCCCCACTCGGAGGGAATACCGCTGTCTGGCAATTGTTGCGCAGTATTCATTTATCCATTGTCACAGCATCAACATGGTTTCACTAATATACCATGCCATGGGGCATCCTTGCCTGCAGTGTATGAGACAGACAATGTTGGCCAAATCACATGAGTATCTGTCATGCACGTAGTGGGTGGTGCTCCCACGAATGGGTACTATCCATGTAGATGATCTGACCTGTCTTGCAGAGGTTGCCATTTACAGGGTTGTATAGTGTTGTGGTTGATATTCTCCTGAAGGCTGGGTAGTTTGCTGCAAACAATGGTCTGTTTAAGTTTTGGCGGTTGTTTGAAGGCAAGAAGTGGAGGCATGGGGAAGATCTTGGTGAGGTGCTCATCGTCATCAATAATATGGTGAAAGCTATGAAGAACATGGCACAGTTTCTCTACTCCAGGGAAGTATTGGATGATGAAGGGTACCCTATCTGTCATATCGCACGTCTGTCTTCTGAGGAAGTCATTACAGTTTTTCGCTGTGGCCCATGAGAACTGATGATCGATGAGTTGAGCATCATATCTTGTTCCCATGAGTGTGTCCTTCAGCACCTTCAAGTATCGGTCGCGTTCCTCCTCATCCGAGTGGATCCTGGGTATATGTAGGGCTTATCCGTAGGGGATGACTGTTTTAATATGTTTAGGGTGGAAGCTGGAGAAGTGCAGCATTGAGAGGTTATCCGTAGGCTTGCATTAGCGTGAGGTACTGAGGTGTCTGTCCTTGATAGAGATGCGTGTGTCCAAGAATGAGATTGATTCTAAAGAATAGTCCATAGTAAGTCTGGTGGGGTAAAATTTATTGACAGCATTACATAGTTGAATAAGTGATTCCTCACTATGAGTCCAAAGGAAGAAAATGTCATCAATGTATCTGATGTATAGTGTTGGTTGGAGGTCCTGCGCAGCAAAGAATACTTGTTTGAACTTGTGCATGAAAACTTTGGCATGTTGGGGAGCAAATCTGGTCCTTTTGGTTGTTCTGTGTGTCTGGATGAAGAACCGGTTGTCGGAGGTAAAGACGTAATGGTCAAGTATAAAGTGAACGAGTTGTAGGATGGCATGTGGAAATTAGCAGTTGGTGGTATTGAGTACTGAGGCTTTTGCAGCGATGCCATCATCGTGGGGGATGCTGGTGTAGAGTGCTGAAACGTCCATTGTGATGAGGAATGTTCCTTGTTTGTGGGTGCTGGGTTTCTAAGAAATCTTTAATGTCATGATAGAAGCCGGAGATTCCTTGCACAATGGGTTTCAAGTTGCCTTCAACAGAGCCAGAGAGGTTCTCACACAGGGTCCCATTGCCTGATATGATGGGATGTTCAGGGGTGTTGGCTTTGTGCAACTGCGGAAGGCGCACACACACCACACCATCCTTTGATATTTTACTTATAATTTCTGTGTCTTGATACCTCCCCTCTCCTTACACCTGAGGAAGGAGCAAAGCTCCGAAACCTAGTGTTTCCAAATAAACCTGTTAGACTATAACCTGGTGTTGTATGATTTTTTTTTTTTTAACCTTGTCCAACACTGGCACCTCCACATCAAATAGAGATGTAAGAGATCGCATGATAGACTCTGCAAAGAGAGAATTCCACTTAGGGCCTTGTGTAAGCTTAAGAGTTTAAATTGTAGATATTTAAGTAAATGGTAATCTTACCAAATTCTTTGACTCTAACAGCCTTTG